ATCGCTTGCTTGCACATTTTAAGTAGGGTGATTTCCACAATCTTTCCACTTTTGTACTGTGCTAACCTTTTTTCTAGTTGGTGTTGGTGGTACCTCTAGAAAATGTACCCCAATGACCTTGCCCGATGTTGGGACACACTCTCCCGACATACGCGCCCTCGCCGTTGTTCCGGTTGGGGGGGGGGTGGGGTGAGCGATGATAATAAAGCATACTTCAGTATCCCCGGCTGAGTACGCGCCCACACTTACCTTCATTACTTTTTTATTTTGCAGAATAATTTCGATCCAATTTATTCCCTGACATGCCCCACCCGTCCTCGCCCCTAAAATCAGGTGCCCGAAAGGCGGAGCAGCGCGCTTACCACGCTCCCCAAGCGGCCCCACGAGGTACTCCTACCCCTCAAGGAACTAGCGGCGTAAAGCGAACATAATACGTGTCCAAACGCTTCACATCAGGCCAAACCACCTGGCAGATACATGTGGCCATCCAGACAGCCAATCAACGCGGGTTGCTGCATCAAGTCGTACACGAATTTTAATCACACGTGCAGTTCACATATTATACAATTTTCCACTAGGGGATAACAGTGTGAGAAACGGCCAATGGAAATGTACCACGCCGTAAGCCAGAATGTTTAAGAACACTGGGCGCACGCCATTGAGCAGAATATTTGAGCACTGTCAACACTCCAATAAATGAGCGCGAGTTCACAAATATAAAACTCCGCAACATTAAATAAAGTTTTTAAAAAAATTTGCCTTTTCTTCCGTCTCATGGATCGAGATGGAAGGCACCGACGATGTAAATATCCGGTAGGGAAACAAATGCAACTGCTCCTAGACGCACAGCAGGCCATCTTTGTAGATGCAGCGCAACTCAACTATCACTGAAAAGTAATCCACGCGTAAGTCATATTCCCTTCCCCCCGCTGTGGTGCTCACGGTTGGCATCGTCGAAGTCGACGGTTTAACTGCCATGAGTGCGTAAAGTTGTACTTGGCGGAATAGAATAACTACTCATTGGTGGAGCTCGTTGTTTTATAAGTTAGAGACCTGATCTCTATGCGTCAATCGTTTGGACTGCTGCTGTCCTGATAGGAGGTTTTATTTTTATATTTTCTTCATAATAAAATCAACTTATCATCGAAATACGATTGTATCGCGTCTACGTCCTTCTTCCCTCTATCACACGCTTCTTTTACATCCAGCTACGCGGATCTCCACTGTAAACTCATTTCGGGCTATGCAAAAGGCGTTCACTACTCACCAGGCATGCAGTTCACCGGTTCTGATCATAAACACTGTTGGAATGCCGTGCTAATCGACGGTACCTGGCGTCTCGTTGATTGCGAGTGGGGAGCCCGTTCTAAAGCCAAGAAAGGTACCAACAGAGGAAAATTATCTTATGGGCTGGAAACCTACTATTTCCTCACACACCCGGGTCAGCTTATCTATTCGCACTTTCCGCATGATACTGAATGGCAACTCCTACATCATCCAATCACTCTGAAGGTGAGTCATTAGCCTTCTCTTTTCTCCTTTGGACGATCTACACAATGCGGTGGATTTGTTAAAATGTAACTACAAAAGAAGGCACACAGTGTGGAAATTATAATTAAGGACAAATTTACCATATCTGAGTACTAGTTCGATCTGTGAATCACAATGCTAGATAATCCGCACGATTTTTATAACTTTCTCTATAATATGTCGTAAGACCCCAGATTGAATGCGGTCTTGCCATCCAGTTACGTTTGTAGAAAGATATTGCAACTGATTAGATAATATCAGAAGCGTTTCTCTTTTCTCCTGAATTCATAGGAATTCGAGTCTTTCACTTACGTAAGACCCGCTTTCTTCAAGTACAATCTTACCATGCCCTCGCAGCGCAATGCTGTTATCAAGTCCAAGGACTCAGAGGTTCGTATCGCGCTCGAGTTTCCATCGGACAGCGTAAACTGTCTCTTCTTCGAAGTTCAGCTTACGTTCAATGATCAGGATTTCACTGAACACTATAACAGCATTCCCCTAAAGTACGTCTTGAAGATATTTTGTTTCACATGGTTCCAAAAGACATAATACTTCACGTTCTTCT